GTCCCTGGGGAGCCACCCGGCACCAGGGGAAAGGATACAACTTTGGCCAGCACTATGTCACCGGGGCGGAAACTCTTGTACACTTCGACCTGCACAGGAGAGAGCGGGCGAAGCCCCGCGGCGTGTCGGGGTGCTCACTGGCGGTGTGGCAGGGCAACCCCTGGGGCCAGCCACGGCAGCGCGGCCGCTGCAGCGCCTCACTGACCTTATCTTTCTCCGTGGCTCGAATGTCTTCTCTCCTGAAAAATGAGACAGAGGGATCCGGGAGCCAGCAGGTGAAGGCGACTCTCCAGCCCCAGCCTCCCTGGCTGCCTGCCAGGACTTGCTGGAGCCCTGCCCGGCACTCAGGGCATGGCTCCTGGCCAGGCAGCTGGCTGTGCCACCCAGAAAAGCCTCCCCCCTTCTTGAGGAATGGGGCGCTCAGGCACCCTGCGAGCCCAGCCCTGTGCCTACCGTATGGTCCCCCGGAAGGTGGATTTCAGCGGCGTGGAGCCAACGTAGAGGATGTGCACCTTGGCGAAGCGGGAGTTAATGCTGCAAACCTGTCCCGGGTTGGGGGGGGAAAAGGGAATGGCTGCTAGGCCAGGGCTGCTGCTGGCCCAGGGCTCCCCGCTCAGGGCAGGGAAAGGGCAGGGTGCAGGCAGGACAGGGCTGCATGCTGGGAGCTCGCATCTCACTCGGCCTGTGACCAAGGTGGTGGCAGAGGGGGGACACCCGGCAGCATGCCAGGCAAGGAAGATAATATTTGTGCAACTCAAGACGCACAAATAAGGCTGAGACCTCCTGTGATCCCAGTTCCTCTCTCACCATCAAGACCATAAGGAAACTAATCCCTGGTCCATGGTACCCTTTCTCCAAGCTGCCCCTAGTGCTCTCCTCCACACACCCTACCCCAGAAAGGGGTTCTGGAAGGGAGAGCAAAGAAAAGCCTTCCCCCAGCCTGCCCCAGGGTACTCAAGACGCACAAATAAGGCTGAGACCTCCTGTGATCCCAGTTCCTCTCTCACCATCAAGACCATAAGGAAACTAATCCCTGGTCCATGGTACCCTTTCTCCAAGCTGCCCCTAGTGCTCTCCTCCACACACCCTACCCCAGAAAGGGGTTCTGGAAGGGAGGGCAAAGAAAAGCCTTCCCCCAGCCTGCCCCAGGGTGGGCAAAGGTGAAAGGTAGGTGTCCCCCATGCCAATATCTGTGTTCCTGGGGAGTAAGGGACTCAAGGGAGTCCCTGGGCTGCCTCTATCCTTCTGTGAGTGATACAGAGTGTACTAATGAGCCCAGGGGCACCTCATCCCACCCCAGACGAGAGCAGGAACAAACAGTGAGCAAAGGCTGGGCAGTTTGCCGTCGCATCGTGCCCCAGCGCTCTACCTTGCAGGTCACCACGGCCCCCACGTCGGGCAGGAGTTGTGACTCAGTGTCTCTCACCACCGACACGAC